GGAGCGCATGGCGTTCCGACGAATGCAAAAAATGAAGCTCGACCAAATCTTCATCCAGTCGTCGGCGCGCTCGAGCGGCGCGAAAGGGCTGCCGAACGAAGACTCGCCTGAAGCTTTGGATTACGGAGCGAAGTCTGACGCGTACTTGAGGTCCATGAAGCTTGAAGAACTCAGTAGACTTACACGCTACGGCCGCGAGGCTATCAAAAGCGTCGTGAACGAAAGCGAGAACATCTACGACCTCAGTTTCGACGAAGTTATCAATCGCAAGCGCAAAAGCTTACCTGACTCCGCCGCGGAGGCGGAAGCTCACGAATTGCCAGAGCCAGACGTCACTGAAACCGAGAACGGCGGCAGTGCGATTCAGCTCGGCGAGGAAAACGACTTGGCTGAGTCTGACCACCCGGACTCTACCGTGGCGAAGTGTGACTCGATGGGCGAGCAACAGCTGAACGCCAGCGACGACGATGAACAGCCGCAGACCGAACTGCCTCCAAAGTCAGACATGCAAGTGTCTGCCGAAGGGAAGCGCTCCAGTCGATCGCGGAAGAACGTCAAGCTGTACATTCTGCAGTCGCTCGAACCGCCTAAGCGAAAAGAGGAGCGCCGCATCTTGCACGACAAGAAGTGTTTTCGCTGCGGGTGCGGCAACAACTCGCTCGACGAGAACGCGGACCCGCTAATCTACTGTCACCGGTGCCCGCACGTGTACCATATGAAGGGCTGTCTAGACATGACGGAGCCGCCCAAAAAGACTTGGACCTGCATGTGGCACGAGTGCTGCCTCTGCTTCCGCAAAGGCTCGCAGGCGGGCGGCATGCTAATTCACTGCGCGGAGTGTCCGACTACTTTCTGCTTCGACTGCTTCCCGCCGGAATACCGGCGCTACACTCCGCCCGCTACCTACTTCACCGACTTGTACCGGCGCGGCTACCACGTAACTTCCGATAAAATCGTATTGTTTCTCTGCTCGCGCTGCAAGGCTCTGAAGGAACAGCAACGGCGACGCATGCTGTCCAAACAGCAGATGGAGGAAGAAATGCGGGCGCGCCGCGAAACGCAGCAGCGCGCGCGACTCGAAGCCGAGCGCAAACGTGCTAAGGACGCAGATGCTGACGAAGAAGCCGCCATCGCGCTCGCCGCTGCGCTGTCCAAGCGAGGCGGCAACTTGAAGAAACACTTTTTGGCTCGCAAGCGACTGAAAGACGAGCAGGACCGCGAGACGTTACAAAACATGCGCCAGGCGTACGAAGCTTTGTTCCCGGATGTCTACTTGAAGTTGCTTGAACTCCGCAAGCATGAGAACGATGGAGCCGCCGAGAACAACGACGACGCAGGTCTGACTCGAGGGAGCAAGACCAGCGAGGTTAAGTTCCCGCGCGACTGGCTGCGCGTCTGCGACAACTGCCACTTGCCGGGCCACGAGTTTGCGTTTTGCCCTTTCCCCGCTGAGTTCCACAAAAAGGTGGAAGAAACTGTCGACCCCGTGGAAGCCGCGGACGTAGAAGCCGAATCCGCCGGTGACGGCGCGCAAGCGCCTGACAAAAATGGTTCTGTCGAACAGTTGGAACAGGCGCAAGACGCACGTGCGACGACTGGCCGCGAGCAACCCGCGTCGTCTGGCGCGAAGATCGAGCAGGGCGCGCAGAAGAAGACCACCTTCCGCTCATTCTGCCCGAAGTGCGGCGTCAGCAGCCGCAGCCACTTTCGCCGCCACTGCGACCTGCTGAAACCCGAGGAGCGCGAAGAGTACACAGAACGCAGCAAAAAAGTCGCTGAGTTTATCAAGCATTTGCAGAACAGCGAGAAGATCATTCTCGACGAGCAGGTTCAGCTCGACGAGAACAGTTTGGCTGCAGTGAAAAAGCACTTACGGCAGAAAGCAAACCAAATCGTCGTCGACTGCTTGGAACGCGCTGGTCTCGGGATGTGCAACGTTGCGGCCAAGCTAACCGCCAAAAGCGAGAAGCCGTCGCGTGAGGGCAAGCGCAAGAAGCGCAGGCGCTACGACGAAGACGAAGAGGGCGACATCGATGC